ATTTATCGGTATCCGATTATTTTGACATTTGACAAGTCTATGCATTGTATGGTTAGTGGTCTTGCTCATAATTTCGAAAGAAGGAATATGCATTGGCCTTGTCATTTTCGGACTATTTTTAAGACTTTGCCAAACGTATAACGCAAAAATTTAAAGTTATTTATTGAGTATAGTCTAAAATTCCTGTTGCTCCTTAATGGAAATCAGATATCCTCCATACGTATTGCCCATGATATTAGTATGAAAGAATACTATGAGTCACGGCTTTACTGTTTGAATATATAACAAGTAAGAGGTTTTAGTCGGGAGCTCCCGACTAGGGGATACCCTGAACGCTCTTCTTGCTCTACTCAAAACCCAAACCAATAATTGAGTTTTAATGAGAACAAAACGAATTAAAATAGCAGCACAGAAAACAATACAATCGCACTTGCAATATTGTTGATAGAATCCAAAGCAGACGCGCATGAATGTGTTTATGTACATGTATACTGAAATTCTTGGAATTTGCGCTTGCTGCCCCAAACTCGAGGCCAGCAATAACATGCTGTATTTAATAACTTCTGTGTTTTTTAACCGATCTTGATGAAATTTTCTACATCTTATTGTACTATAGAATATTCGTGTATTATCAAAAAGTCAATTGCATTTAAATTGTGTAAAAGTTTGGCGACTCTAGCTCGTATTATTTATCAAAATTGCTTAGAAAACAGGATTTCGATATCGATTATTATCGATTTCTTGGAAACGGGCAAGTTTTCGAATATCGGAAACAAACTTGATCTGCGCGGTCACTAGGAGGACCTACAGCTAAAATTTCAAGTCTCTAGACGGACGGACAGACAGACAGACGGACATGGCTAGATCGACTCGGCTGTTGATGCTGATCAAGAATATATATACTTTATGGGGTCGGAGATGCTTCCTTCTGCCTGTTGCATACATTTGCACAAATACATTATACCCTCTTTACCCATTTTCAATGGGTTCAGGGTATAAAAAAAGAGCATGCTGCATGCTGCGATTTAAAAATTATAGCCATCTGCATTGCAAATGCTATACATAAGCTTAACCTGGGAGTCGAGCCATTCGTGAGCATTACTCAAGGAAACAGCGTCCAAAACTTGTAGCACATACTTTGGGAGATCAGAATTTTCGATATGTACCTCTAGTGAGTATGGATGATATAGTATTGGCACCATTGCAAATCAAGTTTGGACTGAAAAAAAACTTTATAAATGCTTTGGATACAGAAGATGAAGCACTAGGTATCTAAAAAGTGGTTTGCCACTTGACTATTTTTTGACCTTTTTAACTATTATTTAACATCAGATGAAAATTCAGACTGCAAATTATTAAGATAAGCCCCTGCACCCTTGGAGTCTTAGGGAGAATCTTACAATATTACCAAACCAATACTTGAAAATTTAAATAATAAGGTATAAAATGACCTTAAGAAGCAAATAAAACAAAAATTTCAAATTAATCATATATATATATATATGGATAACGACGTATCTACCCTTTCAATGTTGTCAAATCACCGTCTCTCCATCGAAATCAATGAATTATTTATTAAACGGCCTAAATAATACAAAAAGTTTAATACAGGGGTGAAAAACAATCGTTTCCCCGGATCCTAAAGTCAAAATATTATTATATTAAAATAATATAATTTTCTAAACCCAAATTTTACAGTTGCTAAACTTATATATGTATATATTTATTAGCGTTAAGGAACAGCAAATCTTTTTCAAATTGGGAATGAGATGCTTAGTGAGTAACTAATAAAAATCCAAGCTAACCTCAGCCAAAAAGTACAAAATATTGCCATATTTAAAACATTAAAAAAAAATTTCACTTTATATAAGTGTTTCACGTATTTTTTATAAAAAGTTTGTATTTAAAAGTAGATTTGGTAACAGTTATTTAATTTGGTAACCTAGTGTTATCAGTCCCAAAGTAGGATGAAAGAGGTTTTCAGGACGAGAATGTAGATCAATCCTGTGCACAACACTGTTAAAGAGATTTATCTTTTGAGTAACGCAACTCGTGTAGGGAGATTGATGGTGAATTGCGGGCGTTTATGCGCCAGACTAGGACTGGCTCCATGTGTCTGATTGTTGGTTTTCGCAAACTAAACGATCAGCTCACAGCGCTAGATACCCAATTCAATAGCCTAAAACTGTTAGATAAGTCTCCAGGGCCTAAAAAGTCCACTCCCCGTGACTTGCAGTTGCCGAATACCCCCAGCCTCCTAAATGCAATTCAGCAGCCAACTATCCCCATCACACAGCAGCTCATATCTTTTGCTACTACGGTAGCTGTGAGATCTACTGTGGACACTATTTCTTTTCCTAAAATCTTGTGACATCAGTACGAGAAAAACCAATTGATTTATCCAAGTAGTCCGCTACCGAAGAAGTTCCGAAAGAGCGACAGCAGCAATTAAATTTACAGCGGCCGCTAGATGGTTCGTCGTCCGGACTAACAGCTGTTTCAGGTCCACAGATAATAGTGTTCCCACCTGTGGCGCCTAAGCCTCTAGTGGGCGTTCCATCGAAGAAACCTATTTTTATTTGCGTGCCCTTCACTTCTCATCAATTGATGTTAAAGCCTTTATACCAGCAAAAATCCAAGACCCAAGCATAACGGTGGGCAAATTTAAGCTTGCATGTGAAAGAGATATTTCCTCCTTCAAAATAAATGTTCCGCCAGAAATATTTACAAACATCTGTTGTAAAGAGCGCCTCAACTTTAGTTGCTGCGTCAAAAAACCAAATTCTTCTCTTGGGCTTGCCTATCAGAACGTTAGAGGTCTTAGATCTAAACTTGTTGGCTTGTTGTACTTAGATTCTCTTGCATTAAGTTTTCACATTAAATGCTATTATTACTGAAAGTTCGGTTCTCAGCGACCTTAACACAATCAACCCGCTATACTCACCCCGAAGTTGTGCTGCAGCATTATGTAAGCCTGTCTTAAATCTTTTTGAATTGTCTGAAAACACTTCATCTTTCCAACTATTTAAAAAAAAAAATTATACATTATCCCTCTCCATTTAAAAAGGAGTAAGTCCGATGTTGAAAACTACAGAGGTATTTCCAAATTTTCCGCTATACCTAAAGCTTTTGAGAGAATCAGAACATCTCAACTGTAACATTTATGTAGTTCTATGATTTCACTATTCCAGCATGGGCTCGTGAAGCGCATATCTACAACCACTAACCTTTTTGAGTTTACTTCGCTAGTAATTGATGGAAACGAACGCAGACTGACGTCTGCTGATATACTATACTGACTATACTGATTTCACTAGGGCTTTTGACTCTGTTAACCACTCCTTACTGCTTCATAAATTATGCCTTCTCGGCATCCCAGTCAATCTTTAAAACTGGATCTCAAAATATTTGCTTATCAGAACTCAAAAGTTTCATTTCATAAATTCGTTTTCTTAAAGTATTATTGTCACTTCCGGTGTTCCTCAAGGTAGTCATTTTGGCCCGCTACTCCTTACTCTTTTCATCAATAATCTTCCCTTGATACTGTCTCACTCTTGAGTATTAATGTATGCTGATGATGTGAACATATAAAGATATGGCATCATGTTATCTTTTACAAGCCGACATTGATGCGTTTCAGTCTTGATGTCTAGCCAACCTCTTAAATTTGAAGTGTTCTAAATGTAAGGTAATGGCTTTCTATAGATCAGAACTTGTAATGAAGGTGTCATTCTTGATAATAAACTTAAATTCGACACTCATGCTAATTATTTTATTTACATCTTTGGTACGGCCTATACTAGAGTGTGCCTCATGTATCTAAATTGAATCTGTACAGAAGCAATTCCTGTTCGCCCTTGGTGGCTCAAATTGGGATCCGTGTGTGTGGATATATCCACATATCCGTCATATCCAGTAGACTTTTGATGATTAATCTTCCTCTTCCTCGTATAAAGTCTTCATTTCTAAACTATTTAGCAAGAAAATAGTCTTGCATATAGTCGTAGTTTGTATTCCCAACGGCCGGTTGGGCGGGAGGTGGGATGCAGTACATTGGGTTTCGCGCCAACAATAATAAAAAGAACATCGAACTAAACTCTTGTATGAACAAATTTTTTTTTTTTCAATATATCTTGACTAAGCTCGGCACTTGTAAGTAAAACTATGGTATAAATGAAATCGTATCAACATCGGACTACTATATAATATAGCTGCCATAGGAACAACAAACCCGACATTTATAAGTTTCATTATTCTCCCTATATATATGCAAAATATATCATATAGCTGCTTTATGAAAGTTTGGTCAAAAGTAGGTTCTTTCGTTGCAAACAATTCTGTTTTGCAAGATGTTTTCATCAAAATCAGCTGCAAAAGGGGAAAAGTCTACAAGGGCATTAAATCTTAGGCATGGTATCTTAAGGTATCTTAACTATATAATTCTTTTATTAAGTTTTCTATTTTGAAATTTCTTTTTAATTTGTCTACAAAATTTTATCATCAGTAACTTTAGAACTTAAAAAAGCATTGTGGCCTGTTGTGGACCTGCTTTATTAGTTACATTTCCCTTTAAAAATCTCTTTGGTAAAATTAGTGTTGGTTTGTTAGATAGTGATAGTTTATTTCACATCGATAAAATTGATTGGTAAATGATCAAATGCCATATTATTGGGTCATTAAACAACGGGACTATTCATACAGAATTAACTTAGGGATTTAATTCAAAATATTCACAGTCGAGCATAGTAGCATGCGGGACATGTGAAGTGTGTCTAGGCGTGTATAATAGAGTTAAAATGAATGCTGTAACATAAATTCAAGCTGATTATTATAACCTTGTAGAGGGTACTATAATTTTGTCATGAAATGTGTAACACATAGTAGGAGACATCTCTGTCCCCAAAGGATATATTTATTCTAGACCATGCACTCGCGACTGAAGCACTCTTTCTTGTTAATTCTGTTAGTAATTCCAAACTCTGTTCTTAATTTTGCAGCAAGCATACATATTTAAAATGGAATTCGGGTAAATTAATCAATCTCCTTAACAATTTTGAAAAAAAAAGAAGTAAATAAAAAAAATGAAATAAATCGGAAGCCAAACACAGCTGTCTACGGGAAGGCTTCAAATTAAGAGCACTAACCATAGCCCGAAAAAAGGCAATCAAGTGATCAAACTCCTTTTTAGACGGCAGCGCAGCCATGGAGCCGACTGGTAATCCATCACCAGATAGAGAACGGCAGATGGTTCCTTGCAATCCAGCTATTGCTGTTGAAACACCACTAACGTCGACAACTGAGCATCAGACACAGCCACAACAGCAAACGCATGCGGAATTTGTGAGAATACCACAATGTGGAAATACTACAATTTCGAAGCAGCCTTCAGGGAAATTTCTGACCCCGACACAATTGAAAAATAATGTAGAGACACTAGCAGTATTAACACACAGCGCCAACAACAATTCAAATAGAGAAAGAAATTCTGCTTTGGTCTCCACTGCAACAGTTATAAATGCTACGAGTCAGGCAGTGGCAGCTTTGAGTGGCAGATCCTTGGGGCATCACCATCCGCAGCAACATTCCCATGAGGAGCAGCCGACGGGTGCAGCAGCAACTGCTTTGCATCAACATCACCACCATGCGAGTGACAGTATGCTTCTTTGTGTAAGTGGCATCACCCAACAGCCTCAGCAGCAAACCATTGATAAGCTCTCCCGTCCAATGGCCTTTGATAAGGTGAGTACGGCCTTTTTTCCACTTTACTTTCATTCGTGAGAGAAGATTAAGTTTAATGCTATACAACAACACCAAAAGAACAAAATGTATTATACAAGAAGTGTAAACATATACTTTTATTTATTAAGTTCAAACTTATAAAGTAAGCAAGGCTACAAGTAAATACTATTTATAACTCTGGCTGCAATAGGAACACCTATGTGCAAATACTGATGTAAGACATGGGGGATTCTGCTGTTGATGCTTATGAAGAACATGTATTTATTTCATGGGTTTGGACTTTCACACCCCATTATAACCATTATTTAAACAATTTTTTCAATGGGCATTGTGTAAATAAATTATAATGGGCAAAAAGAACAACCAAGTAAAATGGTGGTTTGAGCTGAAAGCTCATATCAACACGGCTTAAAGTTACTGTTTAAAGTAATAGTTTGCTGTATACAGGTGTGTAAGCCCTTTATACCCATGCCGAGTGTATTGTAATTTTGTCAACAAACTTTGGAATGTATTGAAAGAGATTGCAGACACTGTAATCAAGTATTGGCAAAGCCATACATACATTTATATGCGTGTGTTCTTCTTCGAATTTTATTGCGATTTGTGTTGTTTATTTGTAAGCTGTTAATTTAAATCATTTTAATTCGCTCAAAATCCAAATAGTACCATAGCAATAGGTCTGAAGAGATGTCATTAGTTCAAGCCCATAAAAAGGTATGAAAATGGTGTATTGCTTTTGTGCATATAACATGCGTGTATATAAAATGCAGCAGGAAACCTCTCCAATCCCAATCATGGCTGTATGAATCGAATTCCTCGCCACGCCAAGGACGGCAGTAACTTCAGATACAACAGCACCACAAAATAAACAACAAAAGAGATGACAAAATGTTCTAGTCATTCTTTCAAGCCGCCAAGAATTCGACATTTAAATCGACATTTACCCCAGTCCGGTGCGATGACGGCCAGCCTGCTGGGGAGAGTGAGCCAGAGCTTGGAAGTGGCCCTGGCCCAGTAGTTGGACGTGAAATCGCAGCTGCAGCATCAGCTCAATCCGATTCTTGTGAGTTTGACAGCGCCAAATATTTTGCTCTGTGTGGTATCGGCGGTATTGTGAGCTGTGGTACCACGCACACCTTTGTGGTTCCATTGAATTTGGTCAAGTGTCGTCTGCAGGTCGACCCAGCCAAGTATTAGAATCTGATCCATGGCTTCAAGGTCACAGTAGCTGAGGAAGGCGCTCGAGTCCTGGCCAAGGGTTGGTTCCCAACTTTGATTGGTAATTCCACTCAGGGTCTGTGCAAGTTCGGTTTGAACCAGGTGTTCAAAGTTAAGTACGCCGACATTCTTGGCGAGGAAAAAGCGTATTTGTACCGTACCTATGTGTGTCTTGCCGCTTCGGCTTCCGCTGAGGTCTGTGCCGATATTGCGCTGGCGCCATTTGAGGCAGCCAAGGTAAAGATTCGGACTGTTCCCGGATTTGCTAACACATTCCGTGAGGCAGTGCCCAAGATGTATAGGGAGGAGGGCATTACAGCCTTCTACAAGGGTTTGGTGCCATTGTGGATGCGTCAGATTCCGTACACCATGATGAAGTTTGCATGCTTCGAACGCACCGTCGAGCTGCTCTATAAATATGTGATATATTTTTCAAGCCACGTATTGAATGCAGCAAGGGCGAGCAATTGATTGTGACCTTTGCCGCTGGTTACATTTCTGGCGTCTTCTGCGCCGTTGTCTCGCATCCCGCTGATGTGGTTGTTTCCAAGCTGAACCAAACCAAGGGTGCTAGCGCTGTAGGCATTGTCAAGTCTATCGGCTTCACGGGCATGTGGAATGGATTGGGGCCCCGTATCATCATGATCGGTACGCTCACTGCCCCACAATGGATCATCTACGATGGTGTCAAGGTTGCTCTGGGAATTCCACGCCCACCACCACCAGAGATGCCCGCCAGTCTGAAGGCCAAGGAGAAGAGCAAGTAAATGACTCTCACGAAATTACAAAAGAAAAACAATGCAAAAAAAATTAAAAACATCTAAATTAAGTCCAACTCAAAGTGCAGATCAAGCAAATAGCAGGAAACGGAACGGCAACATCCATTAGTAGCATAAATGAACTGTCAAAACAAACAAACCAAATTTACTTTTTAATATCTGTTTTCAACTGATTTTACCTGTTCTAACTTTACACGCGTATTTTTCGGTTCATAGCCATTCCAAGGTAGCTAATAACTACAAATGCATTTTTCAAACTGTTCTGAACAATATACATTCTTAACTTTATATATTCTATTCTATTAAAATTTATGTGTATGTGAACGTCGATTGCCGTACGTATGCATATTAAATTCTTAGTTTACACTGAAAAGTCTATGTGTATGTTGTTTCTCCAACTTCAATCATTAGTGTTGAATTGTAGGGATGAGAATATAATAAGTAATAGATATGATACGACACTTAAATGCCGATTAGAAAAATTCCCAGACACTCTGAATAAACTAAATTATAAAATTCTAACCAATCCCTTAGTCTTAAAGCTTATGTCATAAAACTTTGCACAGCTTAAACCTTCTGTTGCAGGCTGTGGATATCGTGAAACCGACCATAATATTATAAGCTGCCATAATAACGATTGCTCGAAAATTATGTTCTTGTATAAATGCCTACGTTTCTTCTACATGAAAAAAATCTAATTCGGAACTATTATAGCATTTCGCATTTATTTTGATATGTATATATATTTTAAATCTACTGATGGTTTTGGCAACTTTTCCATATTTAAAATATTTGTTGGCTGTTGAAACTATTTTAATGCCCTGAACCCATTGAAAATTGGTAAAAAGGGTATAATGTATTTGTGCAAATGTATGTAACAGGCAGAAGGAAGCATCTCCGACCCCAAAAAGTATATATATTCTTGATCAGCATCAATAGCTAAGTCGATCTAGCCATGTCCGTCCGTCCGTCCGCATGTATGAACGCAAGGATCTCAGAACCTATTAGAGCTAGAGACTGGAAATTTTAGATGTAGGTCCTCCTAGTGCCCGTGCAGATCAAGTTTGTTTCCGATATTCCATAACTCGATATCGAAATCCTGTTTTTTGAGCAATTTTGGTAAATAATAAGAGCTAGAGCCACCAAACTTAACATGTAGCTTCTAGAATGGTATATATATATATCAAGTATCTTTAATTTTATATCTATCACCACCTCCCTGCTTCAACCACATATCTATAAATTAAGTAAATAAACCAATTTATGCTGCCCACCAATATAAACTACAATTTAAATACAATTGACTTTTTGAGAATGTACAAATATTCTATAGCACATTAGAAAATTTCATAAAGATCGGTTAAGAAACACAAAAGTTATTAAAGAAAACGTGCTTTGGCTGGCAGCATTCCAAGAATTTCTGTATTCATGTACACACACATTCATGCGCGTCTGCTTTGAATTCTATCAACAGGATTGCAATTCCGCTTGTATTTCTATGCTGCTACTTTAATTGTTTTTTTCTCATTAAGACTCAATTATTGGTTTGGCTCTTGAGTAGAGGCGGCGGCAAGTGGTGCGGTTAGATGCGAGTTCGAACACTGTCAAGAGAAGAATATTCTTTTATATTTTAATTTTTCTTTATTACTACTAAAGCAAACGAGCGAGTAGCGCGAGCTGCATTGGTGTTGGAAGAAGAGGGTTCAGGGTATTCCCTAGTCGGCAGATCCCGACTAGAACCTATTACTTGTATTTAATGTTTTGCTTCCAATATATTTCTGTTGCACATCAGCAAACAGTGTCCAGAATTAGAATACCTTAAGTTAAAACATAATTTTGAACATTTTACACACATTATTTTACACGTGGAGATTGAAACTGAGGCTGTTTGGTTGTTTAAGAGGTGTCTGTACAAGTGAGCGCAATTTTCTGTGTCTGTCTTGTAGTTTAGTCTTTTGTTGGTTGGTGTGCTAATTATGTGTAGCATTTCCAATGTTAGTCGTTTGTTGTAGTATTATTATTGTTGTAAGATTGTTGTTATAAAAAAATTTTGTGTGTGGTTGCTTCTCATACAGTGGGTTATTAGTGCTGTTTTCTGTATATTATTTTGATGTCTTAATTTAAAGTCCGATTTTTGTTGGCTGATCCTTGTTATACCCTTGCAGAGGGTATTATAAATTTGTCGTGAAATGTGTAACGCATAGAAAGAGACATCTCCGAACCCATAAAGTATGTATAGCCATGTCCGTCTGTCTGTTTCTATGAGAACTAGTCTCTCAGTTTTAAAGCTATCTTTATGAAACTTTGCAAAAGTCCCTCTTTCTGTTGCACGCAGTAAATATGTCGAAACCAGATGGATTGGAACACTTTATCATATAACTGCCATAGGAACGATCAGACGAAAAGTAAATTTTTGTATAAACAAAATTTTTGTTTTTCACGATATCTTGAACAAACTCGGCATTTATTAGTTTTACTATGCTCCTTATATATATATGCAAAATACTCTTAAGATCGGACAACTATATCTTATAGCTACCATAGGAACGATCGGTCGAAAATTAATGTTGTATGAAAACTATTTTCTTTTTCAAGATATTTTGACCAAGCTCGGAATTTATTAGTTTTACTATACTCCTCTATCGGTCGAAAATTAAGTTGTTGTATCGAAAACTTCCTTGTTTTTCAAGATATCTTAACCAAGCTCGGCATTAACTATTTTCCCTGTGCTTCTTAGATACGGGCAAAGCACTATGAGCATTATGAAAAGGTTGGGTGTGCAAGGGTATTAAATCTTCGGGGTGCCGAAGATAGCCCTTATTTCTCGTTTTTATACCCTGAACTTATTAAAAAGGGTATTATGTATTTGTGCAAATGTATGTAACGGGCAAGAGGAAGCATCTCCGACCCCATAAAGTATATATATTCTTGATCAGCATCAACAGCCGAGTCGATCTAGCCATGTCCGTATTTCTGTCCGTCCCTCCGTCTGTCCGCCCGTCC